AGATTTAGACAGTATAATCTAAAATTGAAGCCATCAAAATGTAAATTCGGATACGAGGAAATACAAGTACTCGGTAATATCATAAATTCGAAAGGCATCAGACCAACCGATGAGGGCATTGAATCGGTAAAAAAATTCCCTTTCCCTAATACTATTAAACAACTTTGTAGTTTTTTAGGACTTGCCAATTATTTCAGAAAATTTATTCCTAACTTTAGTAAACTGGCAAAATCTCTTACAGATCTCACTAAGGGTAAATTTAAAACAAAAAATGAAAAAATTAAATGGTTAGCTGAACATGAAACAGCATTTAAAGAGCTAAAGTTTAAACTTACGACATCTCCACTCCTCGCGCATTTTAACGTAAATTTGGAAACTATACCAGTAACAGATGCTAGTAAATTAGGTCTAGGTGTTATACTTCAACAACGTGACGATAACAACGAAATTCATCCAATTTCTTACGCGTCTAAAAAGTTAACGCCCGCCGAGTCCAATTATTCCGCAATGGAACTCGAGGTTTTAGCTATTCATTTTACCCACTATAGGCAATATGTTCACGGTAGGAAAATTGAGGTTTGGACTGATCATAAAAATTTGATAAGTTTTATGAACATAAAAACTGAATCTAACGTTGTAAACAGGATACGAACGAAATTAATGGGCTATGATTTTGAAGTAAAATATAAAAAAGGTATTTTTAATAGGGCCGCGGATCATCTATCGCGTTATCCCAGTTCAAGTGAACTAATTAATATTTTAAATTCGAATATTAAAAATGATATTTTTAAAATAAATCTTGTTCAACCTATTAATATTGCTGTAGAACAAGCAAACGATGCGTACTTGCATAACATTATAGGAGCTATTAAAAACCCTATCTCATCAAATTCGTTTTATTTAAATAAGGCCGACAATTATGAAATAAAAGATAATGATATATTGTATTACAAAACGAAAATTAGACAAATCCCTGTATACGCAATTGCTTTACCTTCAAAATTTATTAAACAGGTAATAATTGATAATCATGATAGTTTATTAAGCGGGCATATCAGTTTTTCAAAAACACTAAACAAAATTAGGAGTAAATATTACTGGCCAAAAATGAGAAAAGATATAAAAGCATATGTTCTGTCCTGTGAAAGGTGTCAAAAGAGGAAACCATATAAACAAAGTAAGCCACCGAAAGTAGGGAGATACGATTTAGACAAGTGTAAGATCATGAATGAGATAATTATTGACTATGTTGGTCCCCTTCTAAAGTCGAGATCTTATAAGTATATTTTAGTAGTTACTGATCGTTTATCAAAATTTTGCGTAGCTTAACCATTTACAAATGCCAATGCGCGTAGTACCAACAAATTTCTTTTAGACTTATTCTTAAGATTTGGTCCAGCTAGGATAATTAGGTCAGATAATGGAACTCATTTTACGTCAACGAGAGTTTTAGACCTAATGGACGCTTTTGGGGTAGACAAAAAATTCGGAATACCGTATAAGCCTACTTCACAAGGTCAGGTGGAGACAGTTATAGACATGATATCACATTACATTCAGGATAACAATAAGTGGGTAGATTATTTACCGTACGTTGTATACGATTATAATACTTCAATACATTCGGTTACAAATTATACGCCATTTTATTTAGTTCACGGTTATCGCTACAATTGATATGTTTTTAAAATCTACATCTTAAGAGCATTCTACTTATGCATAAATCAATCAAATCAGAACAATTTTAAAAAATTGTGTATACAGAGTGATCCAAATGAAAAATATAAAAATACAGAGTGATTCAAATAAAAAAAAAAAAAAAATGTTGAATATCGCTACAATTGATATGTTTTTGAAATCTACATATTAAAAGCATTCTACTAATGCAAAAATCAATCAAATCGGAGCATTAAAAAAAAATTGTGTATAGAGTGATTCAAATGAAAAATATAAAAATACAGAATGATCCAAATGAAAAATATAATAATTCAGAGTGATTCAAATAACAAAAAAAAAAAATTGTTGAATATCGCTACAATCGATA